CTGTTTGAATTCTGTGCGGTGGAAGATAAAGTGCATGAGCCCAGAGACTTCCAGGCCACAACAGTTTATGAAGCGATCTTCGCGCTAGCAACCGCACTTCATCAAGAAAGGCTTGGGTTGTTTTCTATTTAAGGTGGTAAAAAGTTTTAAATCTGTATTCAAAAAACTTCCATCTGGAGTAATTCACAGTAGTCACTTTCTGAAAGTTAAACTAGGTTTTCTGCCATCCACAGTGACTCCCCATAATCTCCTCATAATCTCCAGATGCCTTTTTAGGGTATTACTACAGTTCTTATTTTTTCAAAGCAAAGAGGGTGGAAGGTAATTTTTTACTTTCCTTGTCCTAAAATTATATTTGAGATGGGACCTAAGACAGGTGTCTTTTTTGGGGCGCCTGGGTGGCTCAGTTGGTTAAGCACCCGACTTTGGCTCAGGTCATGATCTCATGGTTCGTGGGTTCGAGCCCTGTGTCCCGCTCTGTGCAGACAGCTAGCTCAGAGCCTGGAGCCTGTTTCGGATTCTGTATCTCCCTCTCTCTCTGACCCTCCCCTGCTCATGCTGTCTGTCTCTCAGAAATAAATAAAACATTAAAAAAAAAAAAAAAAGACCTGTGTCTTCTTTAAACCAGGAGCCAGGGATTTCCAGTTCTTCCGGGTATTTGAAGGTTGGAGCGAGGCACCTGCAAAGCTGCTCCGCTGGGATTGGGTTTGTGGTGGGAGCCTTGGCACGCTTGGGCTTTGGGCCTTTGTGTCTCAGTCACCCTGACAGTGAAAATAGGCTAATTCCAGCCCACTCCAGGATGCAGAGACTTCCTTTGTGAAGTTTGCAGCCTTTGCCCATCTCATGTAGACTTAAGAATGAGAGAACCAGGGGCACCCAAGGGTCTCAGTCGGTTAAGCGTCCAACTTGAGCTCAGGTCATGATCTCACAGTTTGTGGGTTTGAGCCCCACATCGGACTCTGTGCTGACAGCTCCAAGCCTGGAGCCTGCTTCAGATTCTGTCTCCCTCTCTCTCTGACCCTCCCCTGCTTGCTCTCTGTCTCTGTCTCTCAAAATAAAGACATTAAAAAAATTTTTTCCAAAAAAAAAAAAAAAAAGAATGAGAGAACCAGGGGTGCCTGGAGGGCTCAGTTAGGTGTCCAACTCTTGATTTTGGCTCAGGTCATGATCTCACAGTTCATGAGTTCGAGCCCCTGAGTCGGGCTCTACACTGACCTTGTGGAGCCTGCTTGGGATTCTCTCTTTTCCACTCTCTCTCTGCCCCTCCCCTGCTTTCTCCCAAAAATAAATGAATAAACTTAAAAAAACAGAAAGCACTTAGGTAATGAGAGCTGTTGACCTGGTTTGTGCCTTGCTGCCCATCAGAGGCAGTCCTCTTCGAGTGCCCCCTTTATGACCAGCAGTGTGCGAGCCCTCCTTTACTCTTCCGAAATAGACTTCTTAGATTATGGGACCTTCAAAATGGTTTCTTTCTGTTCCGCACACACAAACAGATTAACTAACTTATAAAACACATAAGTACTCAGGCCTTGGCAAACTAGAAGACCAAACCCCCCAGGAACCACCTCTGCCCATCTCCGTAGCCCTCGTGAGGGGGCAATAACCCCACCAGCATCCCTCCCCTTCCCTCTGGAAAAGCCGTGCTTTAGGGCAAGCGGGCTGGGGTCTGCTGTGCAACATCCCACCCTCTGCTGTCGCCCTGTTGTTGATAGAGGAGTGGCAGTTACCTTCCCACTCCTTTCACTTCAGACGGTGTGCTCTACCACACTGGGTGTCACAGAGTGGGGCAGAGTGGAGAGAGGGCTGCTCCGGGGGTCTGGAGACCTCGGGCTCATTCCGATTTTACCTCTGGTTTGCTGTGAGCTCGATTAAGTCTCTCTGGATCTCAGCTGCATCTGTCACAGTGACCTCGATAGCCCTTCCATCATTGGCTCCTGATTCCTCCTAATTCTTTGATATTTCATCTATTCTTACCACTTTACTAGGCTTTTGGTAGAACACTGAAGGTGGGTTCTTTTTTTTTTTTTTTATAGGATTATTTATTTATTTTTGGGAGTGAGAGAGAGCACCAGTGAGGGAGGAAGGGGTAGACAGAGAGGGAGACACAGAATCCGAAGCAGGCTCCAGGCTCTGAGTTGTCGTCACAGAGCCCGACGCAGGGACTCGAACCCACAAACTGTGAGATCATGACCTGAGCCAAAGTCAGATGCTGAACCAACTGAGCCGCCCAGGTGCCCCTAAGGATTTTATTTTAAAGTAAGCGCTACACCTAATGTACGGCTGGAACTCACAACCCCAAGACCAAGAGTTGCATGCTCCACTGACTGAGCCAGCCAGGTGCCCCTGAAGTCGGCTTCTTCATTTTAATGAACAGAAGAATGGCCTGGGGAACTTAAAAATACAGATTTCCAGGGGCGCCTGGGTGGCTCAGTCGGTTAAGCATCCAAATTTGACTGGTCATGATTCTGTGATTTGAGTTCAAGCCCAGCATCGGACTCTGTGCTGACACTAGAGCCTGCTTCAGATGCTGTTTCCCCCTCTCTGTCCCCTTCCCCTGCTCATACTGTCTCTTTCTCTCTCTCAAAAATAAACATTTAAAAAATTTTTTTTAAATACAGATTTCCAGATTCTAATCCCCAAGAATGCCAATTTAGACAGAATATTTTTTAACAAGCTTTCCAGAGGATTCTGATGCAGTTACCGGCAAAAAAGCCTATTCTCATAGGTTCCACATAGGGCATGGTGTTTTTCTTAGTACTTCATCAGGTAGAGGCTGGGAGCTAGATACTTTATTTTCATCTTGTATAAACTGTACATATGATTGTGCAGTGTAGTTTTAATAGAACTAGGTAGTAAAAAAAAAAAAAGATATCCTTAGGAGTTGGTTTGAAAGCCTTAAAGGTTTTGTTTTAAGATGCCTACGTGTGCTGATGGGTGCCCATCAAAGAACATTTCCATTCTGAGACACCAAGTCATTCTTTCCTGTGCCAGGCTCTGTCATACTGAGAGAATGTGTTTAGCACTTGATCCTGGTTGTAGAAGTAAGGATGGGGGCGCAAGTTGAGGGGAGAGTCTCTCTTGGCGGCTTTCTCACCTCTAAGCCATTAGTTGGGCTCTTATTCTCCATCCAGCTGAAAAGAAATGACTTCCTGGCATTTGCATGAAAGTGTTGTCATGGCACCGCCCCCCACGGATAGGAAGCCCAAGAAAACCACACTGAGTTTGTCATTCATTTCCCCACCATTTAGCCTCATGCTGGTATCGTTTCTTTCGATTAAATGTTTCCTTCTTTCTCTAGGAAGACTGTCCAGAGTTTCCATTCCTCTTGCAATAAAATGCCTTGCTTTTTTCTACCTGCTTCCTCGCTTTCAGGTAGATTTGTTAGCTGTTTTATTTGTTCTTCTGTTTCCTGGCATATAGCTGTCACATGTTTGAGGAAATCTGCCAGAACCAGACTCTCATTATTATGACAGGAGCATTTTCATTTCAGAATTTAAAAGCATCTTGACCAACACGTATTTATATTCTGTCTCTTTAAATGGGTGACTTGGTACACAATCTCATTTTTATCTAATACTGCTTTGAACTTAGGTGCCTGAGCCCCTTTTTTCTCTGGATTTAAGCCTAATGTGAGCAAGATGCCTCCACTTCCTTTGTTCCGTAGGCAGGGGTGGTGGGGGTGTGGGGCTGCCAACCCCCCCCCCTGCTTTCAGCATGCACCGCTAAATGGTGGCCAAGTTCTTGATCACTGAGCCAGCGGTACTCTTAGTGGGCAGCAGAGCCCCAGGCATCCACTGCATTAACCCAGTGTCAGGTACCTCTAAATTGCTGCTTAGTTTCATTTGATTATTATTTTTTAATGTTTATTTATTTTTGAGAGTGAGAGAGAGCCAGAGCACCAGCAGGGAAGGGGCAGAGAGAGGGAGACACAGAATCTGAAGCAGGCTCCAGGCTCTGAGCTGTCAGCACAGAGCCTGAGGCGGGGCTCAAACCCACGAACCAGAAAATCATGACCTGAGCTGAAGTCAGACACTCAACCCAACTGAACCACCCAGGTGCCCCTGTTGCTTAGTTTTAGATCTTATTTCTGGCCATTAGCACCTTGGGAAGACCATGACAGAAGACATAGCAGCAGCAGGTTTTCTTAGCTGTGCATCAGGTCAAACGTGCTCCTTCGAACTATCGTCAAACACTCTGGTGGCACTTCTTGGTATGCAGAGTGTCTTATAAAGTAGAGACGGGCTGCCCCTGCCAGCTCCTACCGTAGTTGTGGGAAGTTCTGTCTGGGAAGACTGTCGGTCTCAGTGAAAGCCTTTAACTTCAAGGCAGCTATCTATCTGTTGGTGTTTTTTTTTTTCTCACATATTTATTACTCAATTTGAAACTTTCTAGAAGGCCCCTGTGTGGCTCAGCCGGTTAAACGTCTAACTCTCGATGTCAGCTCAGGTCACGATCTCAGTGGTTTGTGTGTTCGAGCCCCGCGTCAGGCTCTGCACTGACAGCACTGACATCATGGAGCCTGCTTGGAATTCTGTCTCCTCTTTCTGCCCCTCCCCTGCTTTCTCTCTATATCTTTCTCAAAATAAAAAATAAGCTTTAAAAAAACCTTCCTGCATGGCAGGATGTAGGTTGGATAGAAATAAGACCTAGCCCTGGCATAAAGCAGTCCCAGTCTTTAGAGAAGCAAAGTGATAAACAGGAGTCCCATGATGGATGATGTGTATTGAGTAAGATAGGGATGGGGGGAAGAATTTGGTTTTCAAGGGTTTTTTTTGTTTGTTTGTTTGTTTTTTGTAAAGGTAGTGATGTTGGGGCTGAGCCTTAACAGATGAGTGAGAGAAGAGCCTGCACCCAGGCAGGGAGGGGAGAACTTAGCCTGTTTGCTTGAATTGTGAACCCCCAAGGGCGAGGTTTAGATGGAACTCAAAATAAATTCCTGGGTAATAGTATATGTTGAGTGCCTCTTAATTCGTTTCAGACTCTTCACCCTTGTTTTCCAGGAACGCGAATCATCTATGACCGAAAGTTTCTGTTGGATCGTCGCAATTCTCCCATGGCTCAGACCCCGCCTTGCCATCTGCCCAATATCCCAGGGGTCACCAGCCCTGGCACCTTAATCGAAGACTCCAAAGTAGAAGTAAACAATTTGAACAACTTGAACAATCATGACAGGAAGCAGGCCGTTGGTAAGAGAATGCTGGTTTGGGGGACCAAAAGGGTACCCCTGGGAACTCCAGTGCCATTCGGCTGTGGGCTGAGCAGTTGTTGGGGCCTCAGTTCTGACATTCATTTATGTGTCTCTCAGGTTCCCAGCTCCCATCACAAGGCTCATTGAAATGTCCTGGAAATCCTATGTTCTAAATCATAAGCATCTGTAATCTGGGGGTGGGGGGAATCCAAAGTCAGGGGACAGCAGATCCTTAAGATGAGTCCTTAAACCGGGCCTCAGGGACTGCCTAGCCTGGGCTGTATTGGACTAGGAGTAACACACAGAAAACAGAATGGAATAGGCTCTGTTCCCATTGCCTCCCAGAAATAGACCTGTTGCTTACAAGAAAGATGTCCTTTTTATGGTGCGGGGGGAAACAGCATGGTTTGTCTCCCCCGTTTTCCAGGACTGCCCATAATCCCTTAATGAACACCCCTACAAACACACACCGAGTCGCGGGTCTGCTCTGTCTCTGTGGAAGCAGAAGGGGGGAGGTGGAAGTGGTCCCTGAAGTACACCTCGGCTTGGACCCCCGGACCTCTGTGCGGGAGCCAGCATTCTGCCTCCTCAAATTCCAAGTGGGCTTTTAATGGACAAAGTATTGATTCAGAGCAGGGCCAAAGTTTAGGGCCTCCAGGAGAGTGTGCAGACAGGATAGATGGCGCGGAGCGCCCCCGCCCCCCCCAGGCAGCCTGCAGACCGAGGGCGTGCAAGGCAGATTTTCACTTGGATCTCTTTCCCCAGATGCTCCTCTTTGTGGGGGTTTGACTGTCATTCTTTTTTAAGTTTATTTATTTATTTTGAGAGAACACAAGAGAGAGCATGCACGTGGTAGAGGGGCCGAGAGAGAGAATCCAAGCAGGCTCCGTGCTGTCAGTCAGCAGCCTGACTTGGGATTTGATTCCACAAACCATGAGATCATGACACAAGGCGAAATCAGGAGTTGGATGCTTAACCACCACCCAGGGACCCCGACTGCCATTCCCCCCTCCCACCCCCCGCCCCAGGTTAAAAAGCCCAGCCAAAGCAAACGGGTCATTGTTTTAAGGCAGCAGACAATGGGAGAGTTTGGATTATGTCTTGCCCCGCATGCAGAGGAATGACAGAGCTGCCTGGCTTTTCCTTTTTGTGCTAAACTTCGTCTTGGTTCTCACTAGGGGATGACGCTCAGTTTGAGATGGACATCTGAGGCCCGGGAGAAAAGTGGCAGCACCGAGGCTGTGTCGCCGGATGGGGCCCAGAGGACCAACGACGAGCAGACAGGAGGGGCAGTGCCTGCAAGCGTCACAGCCCCTGCGTCCCCTTCTTCCTTCCTCTGGGTGCCAAACAATGCGAAGATGAGCTTCATCTGACTCTTTCCTCTCCCTGTTTCCTGTTCCCCTTCCCAGGTAGACAAGTTCGCTCCAGGGTCCTTGGCATATTTCCGTAGACCTGAGCAGCCCACAGAGGAAAACAGTTCAACTCTGGCTTCCATGGTCATTTTACTGTTGAGAAAACCTCTCCTCCCTCCCCCAACCCCCTACTTTTTTTTTTTTTTAATCCCAAATCAAATATCAACCTACCAACAATTGCCTGGCCGGGAAGTCTGGGGAAGTGGTAGAGAGCTTTGCTGGGTTCACATTATTCATGTTCTCACCCTCTGTCTGCCCTCCCTGTCTCCCATCTGCGGTTCAGAGCAGCGAGAATCTGGGTGGCCGGTCTTCACGACCCCCAGAGGGAAATGATAAACGAGAAGAGAGCTACTCTGCCTCTGACCTTGAGCTCTTTGTCTTTAGGGGCAGAGCACAGTGTGTACGCTTGGGTGGCATCACTGCGTGGTGCTGTTTGGAGGTCAGCTTCCCCACCTTCCTCTGGCAGGAATGTCTTCTGTCTTTGATATCCGAGTTCAGCTTCCCAGTCCCTCACTTAGCGCGTTTGTGCAGAAAGGTTTGAACTCTGCCTGAGAAGGGAGTCGGTGGTGAGCAGCGGGGCTCTCCTGTGCTGCCCCCCCGCTGCCATTCCTCCTGCCCACAGTCTTCTTGTATGTGAGCCGCCTGAGTGGTTCTGTGGCTCCCGGAACAGGCCTGTCCGAGGGACGCGGGCGCTCTGGGGAAGGCCTGGTCATGGTGTTCTGCCGGGTGACACCGAAGGACCGCCTTGGGAGCGTGGCGAACCACGGGGGTGCTCAGTGTCAGTAGTCCTCACTTTTCAGTCCACTGGGCCCTGTGATACTTGCTGTCTCTGATTGCAGTTTCTTATATTTTGAGTTTGAAAGGTGACCTTCAGAATGCTCTTAGAAAAGAACTCAACTTTTCCTCTGTGGACCTGCTTGGGCTGCGGGGATAGATCAGCGTGGGCTTACAGGCGTGTCCCCCTGGCCCTCTGGCCCTCCCCTCGTACGTGGAACTGCCCCTCTCTCTCCCCCGCTCTGCCCTCCTGCCCGCCCCATTCTCTGCCAGGCAATTTTTCAAATACACATCAAAGATACCTCACGCGCTGGTATCTGATAAGATCTCACTCCTTTTATCTGAGGAGGGGTCTTTTATTTTTAAGATGACTACAGACCTATTTTTAGATATGTTTTCAATACAGTTTTGAACAGCAACTTTTTAATTACACATCTTCCAGCGTCAGGAAGGTGAGAGATGTCCACAGGCGAGTCTGCTGTTCCGTGTCGCCATCCTCTGTCTCCCCCAGTTCCTGACGAGCTCTTCGCTTCTCCCTCGAGTTTTGGGTGTGCGTGTTTGCCGATTGTAGTGGGTGGTTTGTAAAACTGGACCATTCTCCTGGCCGTGGGTTGTTCATGAAAGCCTCATTCTTTTCCCTGACCCTTTGCTTTTTCATTCCCTCTCCTCCCCCTCCCGCTCTCCTGACTATCGACTGGCACGGTGATCCCGGGAGAGGGACCCCCTCATAGAAAGACTAACGCCTCTGTCCCTTCAAAAGAACAACCAGGGAAGTAGCCACGGTGTCCTGGCAACTTCTGGTTGTGTGTGGTATCCTGCACCCCCTTCAGAGATCACATCCCAGAGTGAGAATAACAGACCAGCTGCCTAAGAAAGAAAGCTGTTTGGTTTCCCTTTGAACTACAAAAAGCCCCTGTTCACAAACACATTTTAGACAGAGGAGAGGAAGGATGTCTGAGGAACTTTGTTCTGTTTTCTACTACAAAATGTGAATAGTTTAAAGAGTGACTCTTTTGTGATGGTTGATGTCTCTCAGGAACAATCTGGGTCTCCAACGTTGGGGGGATGCTTTCAGTCTCAAAGATTGGTGATCAGAAAAGTATTTCTTTGTGTGTGTGTGTTTGTTTAATGTATCCCTGTTCTGGTTTTAATTAAACTCCAAATTTCGCTTTACCTACTCTTGGAAAAACTTCAGTTGCACTGTAATTTGCAGGAGAAGTTTGCTCAGGATCCCTTTGTCCCCCGGGAGCTTGATTCCTTGGGAATGAGGCTTTTCATGCGTGGACCTGGCCCCGGCTCCCGCTAGGCTGGTCGGGCAATGAGCAGGAGAGAGGCCCCTTCCCGATCTTTATTGCTGCACAGGAAAACTCCGCCTCCTTGCTCACCGCGGGGCGTGGCTTTCATGCCAGCGTGAGTAGTATCATGATGCCATTTTCCCCTTTTGTGCCATCTTGGTGACTCTCTGCACTTAGCTCCCTCATCGGAGGCCGTTTTTCTATTGTCTGCGGGGCGTGTTAGCTGTATGATACAGCAGCGGCCCCGTCCTTCTGTCCTTGTCTGCAAGGAGCTCCTTACTGCTTGGTGCAGTTCTTTCCTGGAGGCCACTACCACGAGAGAGACCTTGACCATGAGCCTGCATTTTAAAGATAATTTCACACGGCAACAGATTAACTTGTAACAGATGACACCTTTTTGCCCGGCCTCACAGGATGATTTTCAGGGCAAGCCAGATCCAGAAGAAGGAATCCTCTCTCTTGCCTTCGCTGGGGGAGGGAGTCTCCTGAGGGTACCATATGAATGAGGTGGTTCTTTTTTTTTTTTTTTTTTTTCGAATGAGGTGGTTCTTAAAATCATAGGGATTATTTGTTGTTCTTATGAGGACACCATGGGTCTGTACTTCTGAAGACAGTCCATTTTCCTGAGAGATGGCCTTCTTCCTCCAGATTCCAGCAGGAGACACTGGTCTGTCTGCCTTCCGGTGTGGTTCACCGAGCTCCCCACTTCCCCACATTCTTTTCAAAAAGCTAAGCATTCTCGAGAGTGCGCTGTAGAGCCACTGACTTCTTGTTCAGCCTTCTACCTGTATTAGCACTCTGTTGCTGTGTGACAAATTATTCCCAAACTGAATCTTAAAAGAGCACACAGTAGCTGTCGGCTTCTGGAGTTAGCAACTGGGAAGTGGCTGGGCAACGGTGCTGGCACAGGGTCTCAGGAAGTGGCAGTCGTGATGTTGGTGGTAGGGTCTGCAGTCACCCGGGGCCAAGAGCCCACTTCTCCACTCTGTCCGCAGGGCAGCAGGAGTGTCCTCCTACCACGGCAGCTGTCTCCCCGAGCAGGGTGTCCCCCAGGGGAGGGTATGAGGGAGTCTGCGGTGCCTACAGTGACGTCTCAGAAAGCACACACATCAGCTCTTCCCGATTCTGTTCCCGAGAAGCGGGCTCCGGAGCCCGGCCTGCACCCGAGTGGCGGGGAGTCACACCGCACCTGGGAATGGAGCTGGAGCAGCAGCACAGAATTTGAGGATGGATCTTAAAACCACCTCACCCCCCCCAGAGGAGAGAGGCAGTCCAACAGGGAGTTGGTTAAACTAGATAACACCCCAAGAGAGATGTTGCTACTGCATCTCCTGGCAAGAAGGCAGACACTTTTTCCTCGAAGCCACCTGCTGGTTTTAAGAGTGACGAGAAATGACAATTCCCAGGAGAATAAAGAGCCATCCATTTGCCTAATGACCAGCAGCTCGAGGATGCATCACGGCGAGTCCCAGGCGTGGTGTCTCTGAGCCTCAGTACCACTTCCTTGCATCTCCCTTAGCCACGACTTGACACACGGAACTGGATCCTTCTAGCAGAGCCACTAAAGCAGCCTTCATTGGAGTCAGGGTTGATAAGCAGAAGGAGGAAATAGGAGTTAGATGCTGGGTTGTTACCGGGCTGAGTAAAAAGCTTACCAGTTCAGTTTCAGGGTGAAATAGATGATGGCGTCTGGAAGCCAGGTCCCTACCAGAGTTGGTGCTTGGCACCTGGTCTTTGCAGCCATACCAGCTGGAACAGCTTGGAGTCAGGTCTCACCCAAGAAGCCACTTCTCCGATTAAGTCGCAACATCTGGGAATTAGCGATGGCAGGCGTGCTTGATTGCTCCTCCAAATCCATTTTATCTTCCGTGCGCGCCCCCTCGTCCTGGGCTTCCTGATGGAAACGTGTTCTTAAAGAGAGTGAGAGGCCCTCTTCTTCAACCGTGAGGGACACTCAGACGAGGCTAGTCAGGTGAGCACATTCTTAGTGTGTGCTATTTCTGGTGCCCGTGTCCGGCCACGCTCTGGAGACTTCAGACCGCTTCGAGATGCACATTCCTGGCAGGCTTTGTGCTCCGCCTCTTCCTTGGCGGTTTCTTCTCTGTCGCCCTGCTTGGTTTAGTGTGAACTTGAACCAGAGGCACCGCTGCGGAGGCAGCTGTAAGAAAACGGGTGCTTCCTCCACAAGTAAGGAACTCCTCTCTACAGCACTTCCAGATGAGTTGACGAGTTGTGTTTTTCCATCTGATTTTGAGGTGGATTCAGAATCGGTGGTCTTTTATTTTTTGTTGTTTGGTTTACCAGTTCTTTGGACGCTCCGACCTCAGGTCAGACATTCCTGGTAGCCCGCTGCCTACTGCGTGTGTGGCAGTCGGAGTCCGTCGTTCAGCCAGCCTGCGCTGAGTGACCCCGTTGAGTCAAGGCAGCTGGTACGAGGGGCTCCTCATGTTGGCAGCCATGTCCCAGAACCAGACTCTCTACCCATTCTCCCCTTCCTGGATGTTCGATGGGGGTGTCAGGCATCTTGGCTGCTTGAAGCCAGGGCCCTTGGCCCTTTGCATTCTCCTGTAGAGAGAGGCGGAGGTCCACTGCATCTCCATCTGGGTCAGAATTTACCTCTAGGCATGTTTCTGGATTGCAGGCATAGCAACTGTCTGCGAAACCCAATCACTTACCCACCCATGACATCTGGGACCGGGTAATACTCATTTTAAAAAAGCATCGTTTCTTTGGGAGGGCAGTTTCGGTCTGGACTTTGAAGGGAGTGTGGTTACCCACCCCACCCCCACACACTCCTGCTCCTTTAGCTCTCAGCTTTTAATAAAGGACAAAATCAGATCTTGAGGTAGTTGGGTCAAAATTCTTTTGAATGCTTATCCCCCAGGGACGTTTCCTGTTCTAGTAAGGATTTTCCCGTGAAGCACTGAGGTTTCCATGAAGTTAGCTCAGAGAAATTTCTTACTGAAGACTCTAGGGAGATGGATGCAAACTTACTTTTTCAAACAATCATTCATGTCACCTTGCCCACCTTCCGGAATTTAAATGTCTGCCTCTGGGCCGGTCCTGGAAGTTCACACCCTTTGGCAAAGCTAGATTTCGGAGGTCTCGAGTCCCTGTTCAGGTGATCTGTGGTTTCTCTTTGCTTAGCCTCTGCCCGCAGACTATCCCGTATGGATGAGCAGTGGGAAATACTGGCTGAGACAAAACGCAGTTCCTGGCGTCTTTAAATCCTTACTCTGCCACCTTTCTGAGAGCGGGAGTCTGGCAGAGAGATGCTGCAATGCTTGATAATCATTTGGCTGTGCTGAAATTTCCAAAGGGAGCTCTTGCCGGTGCCTAAACCCAAAATTCCTGGACACTTCCAAGAGGATTCCATGAATCTAGCACAGAATATCCATTCTTGCACCCAGTGTACCGCCCCCCCCCCCCCCATCTTAATCTTTGAAAGCAAAACAAAAAAACCCAAGCCCCGGCCAAGGGTGACTTTTACTTGAAACCAGGAGGGTGGGGAAGGAGCAGTCAAGATAAGGAGCAGCTGTTCGAGTTAGCCATCCTGCCCCCCGGCGGCTGTGTCCGAATCCCTGAGTGCTGTGAGCCAGTGCCTTTCCTTCCCCGGGAGACAAGCCCGCCTCTTCCCACCCAGGTGCCCCGGGGCAGACCTCAGAGGAGGTGTCTGGGAGAGCCCAGAGGACACTCAATATCCAGGTGTCTGTTTTCAGCATCTTTAAAATATTTTATATATAAAACAAATGCCCTTTCCCGTCTTAGTGCCACCAGTGGCTCGTTTCCATTGACTCTGAATGGAAAAGTGGAGACTGCCAGTACTTTCCTTGGTCTTCCCTTCATCTCCTTTGATGTGGTTCTCTCCTCCCCACCCCCCCCCATGCTCCCCACCATCCACTTCACGGTTGTGGATGGATAGCAGAGGACAGTCTGGAGGCAGTCCTGTGTGAATCCGTGGTTGGTTTTTTGTTGGGTTGTTTTGTTGTTTTGTTTTGTTGTTTTGGTAACTGTCCTAAACCAGCAGGTGTTTGGAAATTAGGGAAAAAATTAAATTCTCACCAATGGTTGCTGTTACAGTTAAATCAATAAAGATCTTGAGTATCACCTTGTGTTTTCTTTGAGTTTGTAAACTTTCAGGTGACCCTCACATTTGGAGGGTCCTGACCAGTGAGGTGGATGGACGCAGATGGTCCGTCACCTCGAGGATCGGTTCTCAACATTCGTGGAGCCCTTTCTTTGTCTGTCTGGCCTTGTATATGCAGCAAGGGGGCGTGTCCCTTTCCTCGGAGCTTGGCCGTGAACACGTGCCTGTGGAGCTGGACACACAGGAAAGGCCCTGTCCAGGTGCCAGCCTCGCAGAAGCCCAGACAAACTGCCTTGCCTTTTCTGAAGTTCTGAAGGGAGCTGCCTATGCTCCCAAGGGCACCTGTTAGGAATGGGTCATATCTGAGGTCTTAACACTAGGCCATGCTGCTGTGCTATTGTTAATCCAAGAAGCCTCCTAACCAAGAACAAGAACCCTGTCGTGTTCTAGGTGTGAACAGAGGTGTGCAGAATAAAGCAGTGGACTTGAGGAAGCCTTCTCACGTCGGGGCAGTGTAGAGGTTTAGTTCACAGGCTACGGAGTGAGACGGCCTTGAATACCAGCTGAGCTGCTTAGAGGCCTCACCTTGTCCAGCAGGATTCTGGGCTGTAGGCTAGGGTTGGGATCTACCACTTTCCAAGGTGGCCATGGGGCTCGGCTAAGGCTTATGGGAAGCACTTAGCCTAGCGCCTGGCTTGGGAAGAGTTCAGTAAAGGACTGGAGCTCAGCCCAGTTGGTGTGGCGACCAGCAGTCCGTCAGCCAGTTGGGCCTCCTTTCCCTTGGCAGTGAGCAGGTTTGGGCGTGGAGCCTGCTGCAGCCACCACCTAGCCCTGGGACCTCCAGAAGGACTGAAACTTTAGGGGAAGACAGCGCCAACCCATTTTGACAGCGCTTCACATCCTTGACTTTGCTCAGAGGCAGGTAGGATGTTAACTTCAAAGGCAACTTGGGATCCGGACGATCAGGGCTTTACCCCCAGGAATGAGAGACTGGGGAAGGAGGCAAAACCCCTAATGGTGCTGCCAGAGTCACAACCACCTCCCGCATCCTGTGTCGCCCATGCTTCTGCTTCTTTCCCTTTTAGTCATCCTTCCTTTTCTCCACTCCTGCGTACTTGCCTAGCCAAGGAGAGCAAGGCATCGCATTTTCCCCACTCAGCTACTGGCTTGGCACTGTTCTAAGTACAGTAGGCCTTTGCCTTGAGAGCAAGTTCAAATCACTTGTAAAAGCCCCTTCCCGGCTCCCAGGTTAGGGCTCCCTTCTTAGACACGGTATTTCCTCTGGTTCAGAGCCTTACCACGGGGCCCAGAGCATGAAGCAGCATTGCTAGGCTTGATCCTGAGGGCCCCTGGCCCGGCAGCGGGGTGACCCACGGCAGACAGGCCCGGTGCCAAGCTCTCAGCAGGGGTCAGCAAAATGTAGCCCTGCCTCATTTTTGTGCCTGCCTCATTCTCCACGAGGTTTGTTGGGAGCCCGTAAAGCTGCTCCCACAAGCTGTGGTCACAAATAGCTTGAACTTCTGCTTTCCTGGCCCTAGCTGCAGAAGAAATGTCGGGCACCTGTCTACTAAGTAAGATGCTCTAAAGCCTTAGGATGGGATTTTTCCCTCCCAAGAACTTCAGGCTGGGAGTGAAATTGGGTCCAAACATTTGGGCACAAAGGCGAGGACTTGACCTAAAGGTAGGGGGGCAAAAACCTCCAGATGCTATTCAGGACAGGGTCCCTGGGGCTCCAGAGACCAGAGCTGAGTTCTTGCCACAGCCACCCCCAGCTGTGGGTGGGCCTCCAGGCGGCTGCGGGCTCTCACCTAGGAAAGTGGATGGGATGAAAGCTGGCCTCCCTAGGCCTCCCCAACCCCACTGCTTTCCAAACAGATTCAGATGCAGAATCCTGTTGGGACTTGGGATTGTGGTGAGGGCAGGTCCGTTTCCACCCCCGGAAATGAAGAGCGGGACCAGCCTTGTTGCTGAATCAGGGCTTTGAGGTTTCTCCAGCCCGGGCCTGGCTCTGGCTTATCCAGCCTAGGCCCGGATTACTACCTTGGCTCAACCAAGGCTGCGGCTGAGGCACGTCTAAGGTCAGGAGGGCTTCCCACGCGACGGGGATCATGTTCCCGGAGCATAAGGGGACAGGCTTCTTGGGAAAGAAGAGCAGCAGAATCACTAAACCCCCATTCCCAGTAAAACGGCCCCCACCTTCCCTGCCAAACAAAAATAGCCCGTTTGGGCAATGCTTAATGAGGTCAACTAAAAGAGAAAAACAGAATCGCTGCCTTTGGGGTCTTTTTATCCAAAAGGCAAAGATGTGCTCAGTTTTTGTGGTAGCGCTTCCTACGAGAAAGCTTGGCTTCTTTCTACTGGGCTGTGAGGCGGAGCCCCAGAGTCAGCCAGACTTAGAAGCCTGAGCTGATGAAGGTTGGGTAAAGGGGGTAGGGCAGCAGGCCTCACACGCTGTAGAGGGGGATGGGGATAAGGCCCAGAGGACGGTGCAGGACTTAAGGCCTGTGGCTCTTCTGGACCCGCCAGCAGGCATTTTATTTTTAATTTTTCTTTTAACTTTTTAAAACTTATTTTTGAGAGAGAGAGACAGCATGAGAAGGGGAGGGTCAGAGAGACAGGGAGAAACAGAATCTGAAACAGACTCCAGGCTCTGAGCTGGCTGTCAGCACAGAGCCCAATGCAAGGATTGAACCCACGAACCGTGAGATCATGACCTGAGCTCAAGTCAGACGCCCAACCGACTGAGCCACCCAGGCGGCCCCCTGCCAGCAGGCATTTTACAGGAGTATGTTAGGATCCACCTACTTTCATTTCACAGGAAGAGGCTGGGCAAGGAGTTCCTCGCCTGAGGTCACACGGCTTCTCAGTGGCTGGACTGTGACCCTGAGCCAAGTTAATCCAAGTCTTAGGCTACTTCACCCCTGCTGGATGGGAAGCTCAGAGGCCTCATTCACAGCCCACAGTGACAGACTGAAGTGAATTGTCACCAGCTTTAATAGACTCGGATTGTGTCTGCCTGAGCAGGCTGACAGAGATGACCACGGGCTCCGCTCCTGTGGTCCAGTGAGGCCAGTTCGGAGTTCCTGGCTCTCCCTTCCAAGGCACCAGCTGGCCTTGGAGGGCTTCACAATGGCTTTATTGTTTGTGCAGCTCATTAGCGGAGACCCACTCCAGGGAGCCTCTGGACAAGGCCAACAGATTGCCACTGGGCAGCCTGAAGAATGCGGGGGCTCCCCTAAACCAGCCGGACGCAAGAAGAGCCAACTCTTTATTTCTAAAAAAAAAATTTTTTAATTGTTTAAGTAGGCTTCACGCCCAGCGCGGAGCCCAATGCGGGGCTTGAACTCCCGACCCTGAGATCAAGACCTGAGCTGAGATCAAGAGTAGGACGCTTAACCAAACTGACTTGAGCCACCCAGGCGCCCCTTGAGCCAACCGTTTTTCATTTAACACAGTGAACTCAATCTTGGCAGGGGGCGGGGTGGTCAAAGACCACTTTTGAGAATACATAAAAGTTATCTGTCCCACCTCAAAAATGAATGCACATATGCCCCAACTTTTATATATAACTTCTGGGGGTTCATAGGTTAAAAAGTCAAGTAAAGAACCCTTTCGCTAGTGCTTTTACTCACCACATCTCTTCAGTAAAGAGAAAACCCAACAAGCCTGCTTCCACAGGCTTGCCCGCTGTCCTGAGGGCAGCCTCTGTGTTGAGCCAGAGTCCACAGAGCCTTCCTTTACAGAGGGGACGCCCTTCCTCCTCACATCCGGCAGGCAGAGCAACCTTCCCTCCCCCTCTGTTTCTCCTCATTGGATTAGATGGCTCTTGTGTCTTCTAGGACCTTCCCAACTTCCCAGGGTACAGCAAATCCAGCTTCCTCCAAGATCTCCTCAAAGGCACCCACATTCTTCCACAATCATGTCCTTGTGATGGTCTAGAAGGACTCTGCCATTGTCCACATACAGCATGCTCAACGGCTTGGTCTTCACCGGGGCACAGCAGGTAGAAGGGACTCGGTGGGGCTGGTATCGTTTCAGCAGACTCTGGGGGTGGGGAAGAAGTTAGTTAAAATCAGTTTCTGGGTACCAAAACAGAGGAAAATGGTGTGCATAAAGGAATCAGCATGCCAGCATATCATCAAGTCTAACATGCAAAGTAACTTTACAGGCTATTTAAAAAAACAAGTAGGGGCGCCTGGGTGGCTCAGTCGGTTAAGCGTCCGACTTCGGCTCAGGTCATAATCTCACGGTTCGTGGGTTCGAGCCCCGCGTCAGGATCTGTGCTGACAGCTCAGAGCCTGGAGCCTCATTCACATTCTGTGTCTGCCTCTCCCCCACTCACACTGTTTCTCTCTCTCTCAAAAATAAATAAACATAAAAAAATTTTTAAAAAATAAGTAAAGAGCTAAGCAGAAGATTCTAAAAGCTGTCTCTGGGTAGAGCAACAGCAAACTTACATGTCCTTCTACTGTGCTAGCCTAGAGTGCATACCAATTCCAAGAAACTCCTGGTTTAGTTCCAGAAACATGAAGCAAAAGAGAGTCATGCGGAAATTCTTGTGGGATTTGCTTTGTTGCCCAGAGAAGGGCAAACGGAGTCAATAGGAGAAAAGGTAACAATCCCTCGGCACTCTGGAACCGGGCCCCGTCCCTGTGGTCCAGTGAAGTCTTTTCAGATCCCAGTATCCGAGTTGCCAGCTGGGACTATCCGGGTCTCTGCGGGCCCCCTTAATCATACAGCAGGTAGGTTGAGGAAGTCCCCCGAGAGGCTCAGGCCTCCGCCTGGGGAAGGTCCCACAGAGCTCTGCCCCCACCCACCCAGTGTTTCCCTTTCATGAGCTCAGCTCACATACCCCCCAGAGGCTCTGAAACCCAATATCAGGGCCACCATGTTAGGCTCTATTCTCTGTTTTCTGCCTCTCATTCTCCCTTTGCTTTCCTCCACCACCTTCCAGACCTTAGGCTGATTAGTGTGGCACCTGGTGGTAGCCTCAGCCTTCTTTACTGTAAAAAAACCTCCTCTTTTAGGCAGCAAAAGTACAGTGGTGGAAACAGTATTACCCCAACCATGGCCCCATAAATGTGGCCCCATTTCATCAGTGAATCACAGACGTCTAGTAATGATAATACATCACACGTGCCAGTTATCTGCCCACAGATATACACGTGTATACATATCATCTCATTTACACCTACAACATTCCTATGAAACACGGCATTGCCATCCCCGATTCACATGTGGTAAAACTGAGGCTCAAAGAGACTACGCAATTTGGTCAATATCACACAGCTAATCTGTAGGAACCAAATCCAGGTTTATTCCCAAAGTCCAGATTCTGATCTCCCTTCCCTAGAAATCAGAGCCGAGGAGAAACTGAGGCTTTCTAGTCTATACCCGCCACCCCGAAGTTTACAAAAGACAAGGAAGAAGTCCTGAGGAAGCAAGGTGTTCAAGGTTACCCAGTGGGGCATGAATCCACATAGGCCCTCTGAGGCTGGTGCCACAGGTCACTATATCCCAGTGCAGCAGCTGGCACACTGTTGGTGCCTGAATAAGGGAGTGAATGGGCAGCAGTGGAATAGTGGAATAGCAGTGGAATAGTGAGTCCTGTCCCCCGATCGGGCAGAACGGCCACTCCTCCCGCACAGCCCGCCGCCTCCCCTCCCCCGGCAGGGCGCCGCACCTGGATGTACGCGTGGTTAGTGGGATGGAACTCCTCCCCAACAGGGTTAGGACACTCGCCCTCGCAACGGTAGGCGTTGTACTGCTTGGGGTAGATGATCCAGGAGCCCCATCCGATGAGGTTGAAGTCCACCTGGAACGTGACCTTCCGACACAGCTGGCTTCTGTCCGGCAAGTGGTGCCGGCGGTGCCTCTTGGCCGTCTCCTGGGAGAGCTGTCCCTCCCGGGCCCGCCAGGAGCTCTCCGCCTCCCACAACAGGGTGGAGCCACCCAGCCGCCTCTGCTCCGGGGAGAGGTTGGAGTAGAGCATGAGGAGCGCACTGGTGACCGGCGGGGCGGGAGGCGGCTGCGGACACTCTCCGGCCAAACTGGACATCTGCTCCGCCAGCTCCCCAGGGTGCTTCAGCCACTTGGAGAGCGGCCTGGTCACCTCCAGGACCATGCTGCCTGAGGAAAAGGTCACCTGGGACAGAGGGACAGTGAACGAGTCCATCCGAAGACGCTCCCGGCAGTCGGCTGGGTCCTGCTCCGCCTCCGGCTTCAGCTGGTGGAACATCTCGACGGAGAGCAGAACGCCAGGGGGAAGGTCCACGGGGCCGGGCAGCTGCAGCCGGAGCTCGGCCCACACCAGCTCCTCCGCCTGGCTCAGGAAGGAGAAGTCAAAAGCAAAGGTCCAGTTCCGCCCATCCACGTCCACATCTGGGGGGGAGGGGGAGAAACCAGGAAGGAAGCAGGGTGAGTGGGGGCCCCCCTGCATGCTCACTAGAGCTCGTCTTGAAGCCTTCACCTGACAGGGACCCTCTCAATCCTCACCCCTACCCTACGAGGTGGGACTGGGGAGTCCGTTTTAGTCCAATTCGAATAGAGGCTCGGAGAGGTTAAATGACTTGCACAAGGTGGTGGAGCCAAGAAGTGACCCTGCTCTGCCCGACTGCAAAGCCCAAACTCCACATCCCGGTTCTGCTGTTCCCTCCAAGACCCCCCCTGCAGCCGGAGAACAACTGGTAGAAAATGGACGCGTTCTCCCTGCTCTTTGGCCAAACCCTGAGCTTTCCGACCCAAACTCTGGGCTCCCATTCACCCTGTGATCCTGAGCAAGTCACCTCCCCAGACTCTGTTTTCTCATCGGAAAGGGTGGCCTCATTCACGTGCACGCGGAAATGCTTCGAACTCTCTTGGGAGGCACAGGCAACAGAAGCCGCTGACCGGCCACCCTCTCCTCCACCTGTTTCTAAAGACGGAGGCAGAAACTTTCGGAGTTTTTGACAACCTTCCACATACAGTTCTATGGGCATTCGAAGCTTCACTTTGCACTACCTGGCAGTTTTCCAGCCCGTGGGCTTTCCCACCTACCCACAGGGTGCTCACCACCGCCCCCTGTCAGGTCATCCACATGCCTGGGGCAGACACGACAAACACACACACAGCCCCAGGCTGGTCCAAGCCCCCTCCCCAAGATGCCGAAACCCAAATTGGATGAAACAGAATGGGGAAGCATGTTCCATTCATCTTAGTCCTGGACTCATTTGGTCCAATATCTGGGAAAAGCATGTATTTGGCATTTTCAGGTCACCTAAAAGTGACCTTGAACTTGTTTCAAGTCCAGTTTCCTCTCCTTTGTGATGGGGATGGTCATGCGCTGCCCTTCTCTGCCTATCACAAGCATTCATGGAAATAAAAAGGGTTGGCGGTCTGTTGCTAAATAAAAGTCAGGGATTATTCCTTAGAATAAAAATGCTAACCCTTTCATGAATAGATCTCAAGGGTAGCGATGATCTCCGATTTAGGTCCGCTCTGGGCAGACCACACGACAGTTTACTTTTTTTTTTTTTTTATTGCCTCCTAGGGCATTTTTGGTGAGATGGTGAGTGAATTTCCCTGAGAAATCCAGCCTGAAATATAAGGAAGCGGTTCCCAGCTTCAGCTTCCTGGCAGCTTCTCCTAGGCCCTCCCCAGCCTCTCTTCTTCACTTAATTTCCACTTCCCTCCTCATTAGCACCTGCAGGGTGCAATAACCGGCCACAGGCTAGCAGCTCTCCCCAGAGGTGTGGGGAGGAGGCCTGTGTTAGCCAGTGCCCACTGCGGCACCCCCTGGGGATTCGGTGGGACGTGTAACCACTCCTGGCCACCTGCACCAGGAGTTAAGCACTTTTTATCTCAAGTAGCCACAAATGGCCTTTTAGAGGAAGACATTCCAGCTCAGTGATCAAGAGCAGGGGCTCTTGTGCCTCCTGTGTGATGGTTCAGATTCTGCCACTTGCTGTTTAACACTGGGCCGGTTGCTTGCCTTCTCTGGGTCTCAGTTTCCCACTTTGCAAAAGGGAGACAGTGACCATATCCACCTCACAGAGGTGCTAGGATTCGCTGAGATAATGTGCACGAAGTGCCTTGCCCCGCACAGCCACAGTGCAAGGGATGTGGGCTGTCATCAACCACCTCCTTATCATTGTTGACGTCCCAGGTTAGAACTGAAGGTGTCCGGATAGGTAGTGAAAGACCTGGACAGAGGAGCAAAGTCATCTGTTACCAGGATAGACAACGGGCATGGAGTGCTCCTTCCCAGTGGAGCAGTCTTTGACTCCTTGACCCACCCCCAGCCAAGGGCTCCTTGGGACATAGTGCTGAAAGGTCCTCTGAGATCTGGCTCTCGTTCTAGTTAGGATGGGGGGCCTAATGTTTTGGGGGGGGGGTCAACGATGCCTGCTCCAAGCCAAGAATGCTCTCCCCAGGAAAGAAAGCATCTCCCACTTGTACAACGAATGTGACTGTTGGTATCAGGTATCAGGAAAGGGTTGGTGGACACGCTGAAGCCTAGCCACGCAACTCAATTGAGTGGGCCACACGGGACTGAGTGATATTCTTGACCCATGTCCTGTTCTAAGAGCGCAGTTGGGCTGATGCTCCTGGGGTTCCCTCACCTCAAACAGGGCGCTGAGTTAGGATTCAGGGCTCTGTAGGAAACGAGGGCATGGGGATGACATGAAGGGTCCACTCTGCATTATTATAAACTAGCAGTTAATTGCCACTGATTACTTCCGGTGCCAAGCATTGTCTCTTTAAGTCCTCCCCGCCATTATCACGGTTTCGCAGAGGAGAGAAAAGGCTGGTTCAACAGCCACAGACGAAGATGCAAACCCAGTTTGCATCCCGCCTCCCGCTGTACTGGCGCGGCGTTACAGATCAACCCAAGAGGGAACGGAGGATTTAGATCAGCGCTCCTTTGCCAGTGTCCCTCCGGGCAGGCTCTTCTGGCTCCTTTCAAAACCTGGAGCCGGTTCAGGACACCGTGAATGTACTTAATGTCACCACACACTTAAAAAAAGTAAAATGGTGGATTTTGTCATGCATATTTTGCCACATTCACACACAAATGAGGCAGAGAGAAAGCCAGTCCCCTGTTTTACAAAAGGGGAAACTAGGTATGCAGGAGACACACCAGGAATTGGGAAGCAGGTTTCGAGGGACCCGAAGCCGGTTTTCCAGTCTCCCAGACTCTCAAACCACCACAAACCTTCTGGAACTCCCCAGAAGGAGAGAGCGAACTGAAGAAGGGCACCCCCTGCCCCCTTGCCCAGCCTCCTCCCCACACCAGCTTTCTGGTAGAGGGACTGCGCAGAGCACTCCAGTAATTTTGAAGCCGGCTGGCCCCTCGGGTGTCCCTAAGTCTAGCTGATCCCCAGATGACCCTTCGAGGAGGGTCATCGGCTGTCTGACCCCAGACGCGGCAGGCCAGGGAGCTAAGAGCCCCCACCCCCCAATCTCGACCAAAGGGCTGGCGGGTGGCCAATTAGATCAGATGATCGGATGTGGATTGCGCCCCAGCGAGGGGGAGGGCCGTCTGGCCCCAGCCGGCAGAGGGAGGCACAGGCCGGCGTAGGGCGGCAGGGGTCTGCCTGAGACCCCAGGAGTCAGAATGTGGATTGCAAGGGGCAAGGGGACCTCGTGGACGGGTTCCCTCTGCTCAGCACCCACCTGCCCGTCGCGCCCGATGCCCGGAACGCCCGGCCCGGTCACCTTGGTCGCTGAGTGTTTCTCTCATCCAAATCTAGGCCCCGAACCCGGTACACTCGGGACACCGGCACCTTCCCAGCCTGGACTCGAGTCCCCGAGCCTGCCTTAGTTCCCGACTTCGGGGCACCCCACCTCTAGTCCCGGGTCTCTGAACTCTAATCCCTAATTTTGTTACATGCTCGACGCCGGGTCTCGAATCGGCGGTCAGCCTGTGGCACCCATTCATCCTCACGCGCGAAAAGAAATTCGACAAAATGTAGGTAGCAATAATAACGACCATTTATTACCGTGTCTGGTTTTGTGCTAAGCGTTTTATGTGCTTTGTCACCTGGCGCTCGCCACCGGTTTATAAGGGAGGTACTGATGTCCCCATTTCACGGAAGCGCAAACCGAGGCGCCCGGAGGTTACGCGGTTTAACAAGACCGCGTCGTCGAGGGGCGCAATCGGGCTCCCATCTTCCAGCACTGCGCTCTGCCCACCCTGAGCCAAGGCCCAGAGCGCGGAGGTCTCCGCCCAGGCCGCCTCCCTGATGCCAGAATCCCTCCCCCCCCGCCACGCGCGCCGAGCCGGTGCCACTCCAGACGTGGACCCCGGATGCTCCCTCCCGGCGCAGAGCGCCCTCGGCGGCGAGGTCCCCAGCCCGGAGCCACCCTCCCGCAGCACTTCCCAGCGCCCTTCCGGAGTCCCGAGGCGCCCCCGGTGCCCGGCGGGGCGGCGCAGCCTACCTTGCGCCTCCAGGCTGCGGATGATGTCCGCCCGGGGCAGCGGGTCGCGGTAGAGGCTCAGCATGTACGCCAGAGGCGACGGCGACGAGGGCTGCCCCCGCGCACGGAGGGGCACCGGGGCCACGGTCGCGGCGCCCGCCTGGAGCAGGGCCCACCAGGCGTGCAGGAAGAACCAGGGCAGGCGGGGGGCTTGCATGGTGGGCTGGCTGGGCCTGGAGCGGCGCCTCCGCCCCTTTTATCCCAGGCCTTCGCGGCCGCCCCGCCCCCTCCCTCCTTCCCGGGGTGTGTGTGGGGGGGGGAGCCTTGAGATCCTGTACCTCCCCGCACCCAGGGGGGTGGCCCCCAGAGGGACCACCTGCTGCGGGAGGGCCAGCCCTGAGCCTGGGAAGGAGGAGACCCGCTTAGCTGGAGGAACCCCTAGGTCCCGCGACCGTCTAGTTCGCGCGTCTGGGCGGCCTGGCACTCTGTTTCTTTAGACACTACAGGCCGTGCTCCTGAGGCCCTGGCAACTGTCAGGTCAGACTTACCGTCAGGTCAGACTTGCAGCTGCCTTGCTCTGCCTTAGGTCGGATCCCTGCCTTTTCCTGTTTCTCCAGGCTCCAAATGGATGTCTGGCTCCACGGCAGGAGGCAGGGAATGCCCGTGCCCCCTGGGGGCTCTCAGGCCCTGTGAGGCCCCACACAGCCCTCCATGCTCCCCCAGCCCAGCCTGGCCAGGTGCAGCCTGCCGGGACACCGCCCAGATGGGCTCCTGGAGCATCCCTGGCCTTACCTGACAGGGCCTGTCTGGACGGCTCTGGGGAACCAGTGATGGGGGTGCTGGGGGAGTTGCCGGAACCAAGAAGCTGAGCGGCGGAGGAAGGCCCCTGGGGACCTGCTTCAGACAGGGGTGGAAGTGTTCACCTGGACAAGGCAAAGGGCGGGAGTGAGCGGGCTGACGGAAGACTTGTCCATCAGGAAGGGGAAGTAAGTGTTCAGCAAAGCCGGGGCCTGGGGCATAGCTAACAGGGTGCTCCGGGCCCTCAGAGCCGAGCATGTGTGGTGGCTTCGGGCTCTTCCCTTCGCAGGGGGCGTCACCCCCCCCTCCCCGTGACTGCAGGAGAAAGGTATGTCCGGTGTTGTCCATGCCCTGCAGCCCCTGTCTGTCCTGGTATTTACCCCTGGAGGGGGGACCTGGGTTTCAGCTCAGGACCTCTCAGTTCCTTTCTCTGGGCCCTGCTTTCCTCATCTGCACGGGACGGATCCTTGTCTGGCCTCCCTTCCGGGTGCAGTCACATCAGAGCTGGAAGTACCTGTAAAGAAATACAAATCCCTGCCCCTTGTGAGGCCCCAGCAGGTCCCCTCAGCACAGGAGGCCTCCTCCTCCCCTGCTCCTTTCTTAGCCTCGCCAGGCACATTAGCAGCTGGCCAGCATTTACGGAAATGCTCTGTGCCAGCCCCACGTCCAGGCCTTTCCCAGGACGCTCAGGCTCCAAAGAACCACAGGATCGGCCCAGAGCAGGTACAGACAGTGGAGGAGGCCCAGCAGGCTCAGCCTGGGGCTGCAAATTTGGTGGGGAAGGCAGCGGGAGTGGAGCTGGCCCACCCAGCAGGAAGGTACCTCCCTGCCACTGGGAGGAGGGGGGGGACAAGGGAGCACGGGGGGGGGGGGGGGGGGGGCAGACCAGGGGACCCAGACAGTCTGCTCTGTCAGCAGCTTTTAGTTCCTTAAAGCTAGGGACCGCCTTGTTTGTTGTGTCTTCACCATTATAGCTGGGACCCAAAGATCTTGGCTAAATGAGTAAATCCGTGAATGGCACTGTGTCCAGACTTGCCCAAAGAGAAGGATCACCTGGATGTTTGTTAAACTATTGATTGCTGAGTCCCACTCCTGACCTCTAGAATTAGGATCTGGGGAGAGGGTCTGGCCACCTACATATTTAACAAGCACCCCACGATCCTTACCCGACAACTTTGAGGACCTGGGTGGCCTGGGGTTCTAGTCACAGTTTGGACCTCCTCCTCCCCTCTCCCCGAGTTCCGGTTCCTTATCTGTATAAAGCATGACTGGGGATCCCTCCTTCCATACAGGTTCGATAAAACCAACGTGAAAGTGCTTCTCGAGCTCCAAAACCTGGTGTATCTGAAAATCCTTATGCATGTGGATATTACTGTGGCTGGTCATGCAATTTTCCTAGCCAGGGGGCCTGCTGGCTCTGGATTGTCAGTCCCAGCCCTCACGTCAGACCCTTCCCCAGAGGCAGAAGGCACCCCCACGTGGGTTATGAATATACAAATAAAAAACAATGACAGATTGTGGCCAGTGCGCTCGGAGCCCCTGGCAAGGACACGGGAACCGAGAATGGCAACACAGGGGAGTGCACATAGCTAGGAGGGGTACAGGAGTCCGCCTCCCCCAAACCCAGGTCTCCCCAAACCCCACATGACTTAGAATCCGGGTGGTCTCTGTTTAAACAGGGACATTCAGCACAAAGTAGTCTTACCCGCCAAGATTGGGAAAGGAACAACCAAACAGATACATCTGCTTCTCATAGGGGACCAGAAGCTCCCTGAAATTACGGGGAGAGCTTTATTCACCCTGTGTCCCTTGCACTATGTGACGCATAGGAGGTGCTCGATAAGTGTTTTTGCCAACGTGAACGATTACGGCAACAGCTGACCTTTATTGAGCACTCGGTGCAATTGGCACTCTGCTAATCATGGTATTGATTTTATCATCACCCCCACTTCAGAGATGAGGAAACAGAGGCTCAGAAGAGACATGGTAATTGGCGCAAGGCCACACCTGCACAGGTGGGAACAGGCAGGGTGTGAAGGGCAGGCCTCTGCCTAACAGGTACTTTTAGCCTTATTGCTTCCCCAGAGATGAGAGGTGGAACGTGTGCCTTGTGCTAAGGACTTAAAATACTTTCCAAGTCTTACCTTTCCCAGGGCCCGGGAGCTGCAGACAGAGCCCATTTCTGATGTGTATTGGCCCAGAGCCACATAGAGGCCTGGAATGGCTCTGACCAGCATGAGTCACTCTGTCAAACAAAGCCCATCCGTCACTGATGTTTCTGCAGCTCCGGCACCCTAGGGAAACCGCATCTGTTACCTCTTCAGGACAAAGGTGAACAGTCCTCCTCCTCATTTTTTAAGGATATTTGTCCGTCCAGGGTCCGTGTCCTACAAGAATGACCAGAAGTGCCCTCTTCCCAGGTGTAGAGTGACACCTTCTCGCTTCCCCTGCCCCAGACGGACTGGCCGACAGATTACCTGACCCGGGAGATAACCTCTCAGGGTCATTCCAGCTGACTGGAGGGTGGGGAGCAAAGTCCCTTGAAGTTCTTGAATGCTTTCCATAGGGCTGTTCCAGGCCCTTCGTCTACATGAGCAACATATGTGGCGTGGTTAAGGGCTGGGGCGGTGAGGTCAGGCTGCCTGGAGGCAGAGTCGGGATCCCTCTGTGTCCCTGTCTGAGTGTATTAGACCAGTCACTTACAGTCTTGAAGCTTCTGCTTGCTCCGCTGTAAAATGGAGATAAAGGATAGATAGTATCTCCTTGACAGGAATGTCGTAAGTGGTAAGTGTGTGTAAAGTGCATCATGCCGGTAGCATTGGCAGTTTGTGTATTCATTAGTTGAACAAACCTGCTTTTCTTCTAGCAAGTCTACGGCAGGTGAAGAGAGCTAGATTCTCTCAGGATGGGGGGCTGGGCAGGAAGGCGGTTCAGTTCTGCACATATTTAATGAGCATTTCCTTTGTGCCGGTGTGACATTGGCTGTCTTCACTTTCCCAGCACACGTCTGCATTTCATGTGCCCCTTTTCCTGCACGTCTGTTTCCGTCTTACTCCCCCACTCCCCCCCAGTGAGCTACTCAACTACGAGACACAGCTTAAAAGTCCCTTCCTTGGGGCGCCTGGATGGCTCAGTCGGTTAAGCGTCAGACTTCGACCCAGGTCATGATCTCACGGTTTGTGGGTTCGAGCCCCACGTCGGGCTCTGTGCTGACGGCTCAGAGCCTGGAGTCTGCTTCAGATTCTGTGTCTCCCTCTCTCTCTGCCCCTCGCCTGCTCATGCTCTGTCTCTCTCTCTCTCTCTCAAAAATAAATAATAAACAGTTAACAAAGTCCCTTCCTCTATAGACCTCTCACCAACTCCCCAGCAATTTGGCAGAGGCCCTTCTAAGTACAGCATTGCTAGAGCAGTTGTCCAAACCCGCTTCAGTGGCTGCCCCTGGACTGTGAGTTGCCAAGAAGCAGGGATATGCTCCTGACTCACTTCTGAAGCTCCAGCCGCGGGATTATGGCTTGCGATCTGCAGCACAGATGACTGAGTGCAGTCGTGGAAACGGTGGCTCTCAGCACAGGCTTCTGGCTCCCACCTCCAGTACTTGTCCCCCCTTTCTGTTGCCCCACCCTGCTGATCTTGGGGGCCAACACCCAGAGCTGAGAGGCACCGTCTAGCTACGCCTGCAGAGCACACGCGGCCCTCTGCGATCTGGCGTCCGTAGGGACCCTGCCCTCCCTCCACGGGCTCTAGTTCCCCAAATGCACTCCAGCCCCATGGAGACCCTGGCCCTTCCCCCAAAGTTCAAAGCCACTCTTCCTCTGTCCAGGGTAATTTTGCCCACTCTCCATTCACACAAGACATTCCTATTTATCTGAGGGTCCAGTTCCTCTTCCACAAGAGCCTCCTTACGTGGACTGTGCCCCCTGCTGTCTCTGAGCTGAGCCACTCTCTGCTGAGGGTTGAGGTCCTCAAGTCCTTAGTTTTCCACCAGGGAGCCCGCTGCCTGACTCGCTTTGCATTCTTCAGTGTTCATTCAGCAAAGGGCTTGGCGCTTTCCAGATGGAGGTGGCAAACCATGCCTGTGCTTAGAGCACTGTTCCGTCCACTACCAACAACGGTTTGAAAGGTTTTTATTTAAATCGCCAACACTAAAAATGCTTTAGATTTTGACTAAAATAGTTTTGCCTCTTTTTAAAGTAATTACACCCAATGTGGGGCTCGAACTCATGACCCTGAGATCAAGCCTCCCTTGCTCTACTGACTGAGCCAGCCCCAGAATAACATAGTTTTAGTTCATCATTTGAGAAATGGAAAGGTCTTGGCCCTCATTTCAACACGGCAAATGTTCCCTAAAGCTGAATAGTAGCTGTTTGCTTTCTTTTCTTTTCTTTTCTTTTTTCTTTTCTTTTCTTTTCTTTTCTTTTC